CAGGCAGATCCCAAGATGTAAAAGGTTTTTTCTCCCAGGTAGTGGTGCAAGTGTTTTGAGCTCTTCCCAATGTGTGAAAAATGGGAACTGCCAGATCCTTCTTCTGCAGCACATGTCTGAATATCTGAGGGCTGATTTTCCTGTGATCCACTTCTGCGGGCTACAAAAAGCTCTGGCGCCCCTGCCCTGTTTTAAACCACAATCTAAGCTTGCAGGATCCACATCTATGTAACAAGGTAACACAGGGTGCACTGAGCACTACATAATTGCAAGAGAGTTTTCCGTCTCTCTCTTCTTAGGGGGAAGAAGAGAAAGGGGAAGGGGAAACTTCCCTGTTGCTGCAATATTTGACTTCCATAAAGCCTCCTCAACTCCCAGTCCAGCCTGCACAAGGTTCCCTGTGCTGTGAGGGAGTGATGTGATGGTGCCCATTTTAACATGGCTGTTATCCTCTGCTTAGATTCTCCAAGTATTATGGACATTTCAATAACCTCAGAACCAGAAGAGAAAGCACCAAACGTTAACAATGTGCCAGACTATATCAGCGAAATCCATACATACCTGAGGGAAATGGAGGTGAGCGACTGTCCCTTTTCTTATTTGAATACAGCCCATGGGAGAAAGGTTTGGGGTGGAGAAATGTATCTGAACATGAGTTACCAAGACAGTGACTAAGTTAGGAGTTACCAAGACAGTGACTAAGTTAGAGCTTGCTGGAAAGGGAGAAATAAGAGCACGGGACTGGTTTATTGTGATAAAGTTGATTGTGCCATGCAGAAGCTGGAAAGCAAGATTACAGAAATAGAACTTACTGATCCTAAACTCACCAGTGTTTACTTTTGATTTGTTAAACTGTGATAAATGGACTTTTAAACAGTTGCTTCCCTACCAGCACGTGGTCCAACCTCAACTTTATCTGTCATCTAAACCTACAGGTGAAATGCAAGCCCAAAATAGGTTACATGAAGAAGCAACCGGATATCACAAACAACATGCGGGCTATTCTTGTGGACTGGCTGGTGGAAGTTGGAGAAGAATACAAATTACAGAACGAAACCCTGCACTTAGCTGTAAATTACATTGATAGGTTTCTTTCTTCCATGTCTGTTTTGAGAGGAAAACTTCAGCTTGTGGGTACTGCAGCTATGCTGCTCGCATCGTAAGTGACATTGCTTCATTTCAAGTTCCACCTGCCGGTTTCATACAGATGAAAATCTTGTGGCTGTTCTGTTGCCTAGAGCAGGACTGACTCAGGAGGGCTTCACACGCAGGAAAAAAAGTCAGGAGTTACCCACCTAAAAGCTTGGCAGTTATCTTTGAAGTTTGCCCCTAAAGTGAGGATCCTTTATTTCCAGCTGCAGCAGCCAGCATCTATAAACAGTATTTGAGGGAATATGCATAAGGCACGTGAAAAGCAAGTTGTCTTCACCCCAATTACTAATTTAATGGGTTATCCTGGAGTTTCAGTGACTCCAAGTCCCAAATTCCTTGGGCCTAAATTTTCATGCTGTTGTAGCTCTCTAATTTCAAATCCTGCTGATTCAAGAGCTACTGAACCAACTGCAGCAAACTTGTTTGGCCCCTGTGCCCAGCTCCTTCCCAAGACAGAATTTAGATGAGCATTTCATTAAATGTTGGTGGTTTTCTAGTGCTCAATTATTTACTCATAAACGTTTCTCCTGGCAGGAAGTTTGAAGAGATCTACCCTCCTGAAGTAGCTGAGTTTGTCTACATCACAGATGACACCTACACCAAGAAGCAGGTCCTAAGGATGGAGCACTTAATTCTGAAGGTTTTGTCGTTTGACTTGGCGGCTCCAACAATCAACCAGTTCCTCACCCAGTACTTCCTACACCAGCAGACAGATGCTAAAGTGGAGAGCCTGTCCATGGTAAGTAAGAATTACTAGCTCAGCCCACGTAATTAGAGAGTTTAATTGCAGATATTTATTGCACACCCACACACATATACATATATATGTATAATATATATATACACCTTATGAATTGTGCCCCTCCAGAAGTGGTGCCCCACTGCTGGAAACTAACATTCCTACTGCCACTTTCTGTTTGGGATGCTGCATTCTTATCAGAGGCTGGCACTTGGCCTGGCTCAAGCACGCACCCTTACTCAGAGCAGGCAGAGATTAATGAACTTTAAATTGGGGCTTGTTGCACTGCTAGATAGATGTTTCCCTCTCTCTTATCTACAGCTGCCACATCTACCCCCACACACACTTTGGCAAAAAAGCACTTTTGGTTTGGTTTTCCCCTCAACCAGCAGCAAGCTCTAAATCCAGAGGCTAATTCCTAGAGCAGAGCACAGATAACATTTCAGCTGAAGTTGTGGTAAATCCTAGCTGTATGGTAGGTACCAGAGGTCCTAAACACAAGCCTTTGTCCCACTGTGAACAGGTCAGACCTGACTACACTCTTCCCTCTAGTTCTTATATATCCCTAAATATAAAATGTGCTGGGAAAACCATGTGTTGGGAATGCTGTTTGACAGTAGCCAGCAGGAGATGCTTAAAGAGAAAGTAAGTGAAAATTAAAAAAAAATTAAAAAGTGGAAATTGAAAGGTGTCATTCCAACTGGTGGTAGGATTGGAAGCTCAAGTTAGGGTTCTGAAGCAACTGTTAACTTTTGGAAGCAGATGATTCCCTCTTTCATTTCCCTTGCAGTACCTGGGAGAGCTGAGTCTAATTGATGCTGATCCTTACCTGAAATACTTGCCATCAGTTATTGCTGCTGCAGCATTTCTTCTGGCAGACTACACACTCACTGGGCAATCTTGGGTATGTAGCACTCCAACATGTGCCTTCACAGGCTTCTGTGTGTATTCAGTGTATTTGTACACAGCTCTGAGTGCTGGGCCTGGGCTGCAGGAATTGCAGCCCCTCTGTGCTCCTAGGCTGTTAATTAGGGATTGCTCCAGCCTGTGGCATTTGAGAAATGGGATGGAGTGAAAAGCACCACCACTGGTGATCAGTGTGAAGTGAACAGCAACATTCTAATGTTCCTCTCCTTTTCTTTTTTCCCCTCAGCCTGAATCCCTGTGCAAAGTAACTGGCTACACCCTTGAAGACATCAAGCCTTGCCTCATAGACCTCCACAACACCTACCTCAGAGCGGCCCAGCACACACAACAGTCCATAAGGGAAAAGTACAAGAGTACCAAGTGAGTATCTGCGGAGGTGTTAACCTCTGAGTTGTCCAAACATGTACCTGCCTGGCAGGGTGCGGGTGTGGGATGTTATCTTTTGATGAGTCTTCAGGCATACTCAGCTAACCAAATTCTTCAGTGAGATGGTGACAAGACTCACTGGGGTTTTTGCACGATGGCTTGTCAAGTAATACTTGGTGTTCTGTTGCTGCCTGGACTGTCAGGTAGAAACTGGAGGAACTTTCTTGACGTTCCTACAGTTGGTGATACCTGATGCTCTTAAAAATCTGTGTGGGGCATGGCAGCCAACAAAGCCCCAGAACGTTCCGTTCCCTGCCTGCTGGGAAATGTGCTTTGCTGCAGTTAATGCTGCTCTTTGTTAATGCAAAGAGCACTTGAGCAAGATGACATCCTGCCTCTTTTGTTCCCTCTCTAGGTACCATGGAGTATCACTCATTGACCCACCAGACACACTAAACTTATTGTAATAATCAAGAGACTGATCTTTTTAAGAGATGTATATTACCAGGAAATGATGTACAGTTTTAAACATGGTTCAGGATCCTAGATATGATCACTCAGAATACAAATACAGGCTTTGATGACTTCAATTATGAAGTTCAGTTTCATGTGGTTTTAATGTAAATCTTTTGTACATGCAATCTTGTTAAGAGTTTTAGCTGTGTTTTTATCAAAATGTTCTCTTCAGGCACAGAATTAACCATTCAGGCCACGTGAAGTCTGAGACTGCTTATCTAATTATAGACTAAATGTTAATATTAGCAGTGCATTATTATAGTAGGGCTTTTTCTCCTTCTGGGTAAGAAAGACTTGGTCTCCACAGAGTATCAGTAGCATTTTTATACTGTCTAGTTTAAACTGAGATTTAGCATAGGTCCAAAACGTGCCTAATGGCTACAAAACTGGAAGAAACTCTATGGGCACGAGGAGAACCCCTTGCTGGAACCGGCTCACGAGGCTCTTTAGGACGTGCCCCAGTAGCTGTATAATGTAGTCTTCATCGGGGGAAAGGCTGAATGCTCTGCTGCAGGGACTGCACAGTTAAAAACCCCCTGCACCAGTTCATACCTCGCGCTTCTGCTACGCAGAAAATGTTCTTGCTGTTGGTATTTTCTAGTCCAAGTGTACAACTGATGCTAATCTAAACCCGTGGAGTTCCCACTGATGTGTTGGCTGTCCCAAAAGTCCATTGATGCCTACTGAGAAAATCAGTCCTCAGTCTGCTTGTCTCTTTAGGGTGGTGGAGGGATTAAACTGCAGTGGGTGAACTGCTGCTCTGTGCCCTCAAGGGCAGTGAACATCTTCTGGCACAGATGGGCTGCATGCAGAGCAGTATGAATTCTTTGTGCCCCTCACACTTGAGAGGAGCTCCTCTGTGGCACACAGCAAAAATGTGCCATATTTTTCCCTAGTTCTGGAACTGTTACATGAGCAAAGTGGCATTGAATCAGCATTAGATCGAGTGGATGTTTACCTTCAGCCTGTGTAAATGGATGATGCTGCCCTGTACCCGCTGTTGTTTGCATGTAAAGCAGCGAAGGGGGCTGAATTGAGCCATTTCCAGGTTGGCTAATAAACACTTTTTGTATCTGATGTTAGTGGTCTTGCCAATAGCTTAAAATCACTGAGGGGAAGTGCTGTCATCTTAAACTGCCATTCATTTCTAAAGCCTTTTGGAAAGGGCTGCCCTGTGAAACCTGTTCCTCTTTGACTTGAAGTCGAGTCAGCGCTGTCTCTGGTTATCTGGGCACCCAGCAGTATAAACTCCTCCTCACAGATGTCCAACAGCTGTTAGGGTGTGGGCTACTTGAAATAATTTTTTTTTTTTGAGTCGTCATCTCTCTGTCAGGATGAGCAGCAGGCCTCAATGAGAAAGAACTCTGTATTTCACCTCAGCAAACTACAAAGTTACTGCTCTGCCCCACCCTTGTGCTCCTGCCTTGAGCCTTCCCTGAACCACCTCGAGTCAACTTCGTGGTCAAAAATCTGGTCAAAATATGCAGCAGGAGTAGCCTTTTTGGCCAGTCTGAGCTTCTTGGGATGCACTTGGACTTTTATGCGTGTTCTAATGGTTAATGAAGAGCCACATTTCATTGGCCAACAGCCTTCATTTAAATTAATTTCAGTGGGTTTACTGAAATGCCAAAATGGTTTGGGGACAGCCTGTGCTGTGTATCATGTCTGGTGCTTGGGGTTGGAAACACTTTAACCTTGCAGGAGAAGGAGTTTATACAGGGAGGAATGTGTTTTTCACTGTCTGTGACCTTGGAAGGGTAACTGGCAAGGCTGACTGGCAGCAATTTCTTGAAGATAACAGGCTGCAGTGCTCTTCCTGGGAAACTGGGTTCTGCCTTCCTTTCTGTGGTGTATTCCAAGAACAGAGAAATATAAACATTGGAGAGGCAATTTAAAGGAAGCCTATGAATTATTGCCTCCAGAAAAAGAGCAAGTAGCAGTACTTAAGTGAAAAGACTTCAGTGAGTTTTGGTATTAATTCAGTGCTTAATCAAAGAGCTGTGCTCGAGCTCCAATGGAACTTCTTCCCTTACTGTTCCCATAGCACAGAGAAAAATTCTTCCACTCTCCCTGAGCTTTACCTTGACCCTTATCAACACTACTTCCTCTGCAGCCTAACAAAAAATCTCCAGTCAGGCACTGGCATCTCTGCCCAGCATGACAACATTCCTCCTTCCTCAGGGCAGCCCTTGCTTCTGCCATTAAGTGCTATCTTTTTCCACCTTCTCATTTTCCACAGTTAATATGGGACAATTCCAGCTTTTGCTTCTAAGCTTTGAACAAAATATCCCAGGTTGTACTGTACTACTGTTAAGCCTATCCAGGTTACCTTCTAATCCTTTCCAACGAAAGGCTCTAGGGAATATAGGGATGTTAGGTGTGAAGAAGAGATAAACAGCAGTGCAAAAAATACTGTTAATTTTTCTGAAGAAGTTAACAGTCTTGTGGTACTACAGGACTAAGAAGGAACCCCATCTTCACCCATTTTTGTACTCAGGACAGTGACTTTGGGTTTTTCGGAAGAACTGACACTGCACTGGTTTAGCTCCTGGAGAAGAGGTTTTGTGTGTTGGTCCGTTCCTGAAAGAGCACAACTTGATTCAAGCTTTGCCTGGCTGGGAGCAACTCCTTATATATATATATATGTAGTTTTGGTCTTTTTTACATGAAGCTCTTAACCTGATTTGGAGAAGGTACAGTCTGCAACAGTAACTTCTGTTCACAGCTCATGTAACACTGAGGTCACCTGTAAAATAGCCCTGCTTCACTCTGTAAATATGTGTGTGTTTCCAGTGTCACCTGTTTGCAAACAAAGCACCCAGATCATCGGGTATTTTGGAATCTTCCTCGTCTCTCTGTTTTGCCTGATCCTAAATTCAGAGCATAACTCTTCGCCTATAGTTCAAGAAGCATTCCTGTCTGTTGCATGTAATATTTAATTAAACTTTTTAAGAAACTCCACTGCTGAAGTTCTGTGCTGGTTTGTTTAAATCCATCCATTCCTGGTGACTTTGACACAAAGCGGTTTGAGTACTGGCTAAGGTGTGGAGTAACAGGGCAAAGAAGGTTTTAATCACAGCATGTTGATTTTTCCCCTGTGAAGAAAGCTGAACTAGGTGAGTTTTTGCTGCAGCTGGATGCCAAACATAGGATTTCATTTACAGGCACCATTTTTTAATTTAAATCTGTGTACAATCGTTTCAACATATACGTAAAAGCAGAAGCGGATATTGGGAGGGGAGGAAATAAAATTATCTACAAAAATAAGCTCAGTAATAGTACACCAAAATCCATATTATACAGCATTCCTGCAGGAAGGGATGATGGCTTTAATGAGTTCTCTTCTTTCTTCTCCTTTTGTTAAATGCTTTCTTACTTGGATTTTCTTGTTTGGAGCTGGTCTGTGTTCTGTCAACAAACAACAGTTGTATCAGAGAAAGTGATATATAACTGATCAGAACTGATACAATACTATACTGAATATATATATAGTAAATATATATATACACTATATATATATATATAAATATATACTGATACAATACTATACTGAATAGTTTTTCAAAATAACAGAGACTGATTATCCATAACTTGGCAACTACCCACCATGCCTGGGGCCAAGGTGTAAATTAATCTTTTGGAAGTGCACTAAGAACAAGGGTTTCCATAGATACAGCAGCATATCTCACTTCTTGGAGGTAAAACTCAGCATTAGCTCTAGGGTGGCACACAGAATCTCTGCAGCAGCTCTAAGGAGCCACTGATTGAGATCTACTTTTATGCTCTCATTCCCTCTGGAAGGACTAAAATGAGTCAAATAGCTAAAACCATCTCAGACAGCTGCAGTCCTGCCAGGCCTGAAAGCCAGAGCTTTAGCCTAGATTTAAGCTATATCAGTATTCCCTTTGTTCAATTGAAACCTTTCTTGGCCTTGCCAAAATCCTCTCCTTCCTGGTGATACTTCTTACAAACTCCCTTCCTAAATCCACTTGCTGGTTACCTTGTTTTCCTTGGTAGTTCCTGTGGTTCAAGAATGACAACTTCTTCCTCTTCGCTGTCAGACAGCACAACAGGTTCATCTAAAAAAACAAAACACAACCCCACCAAGCCCAAACTGCTGATCAGTTTTGTACAAGCAACCCCTGTAAATAATAACCACAGCATTTCTAAAGAAATATTCAGAGGAGTTACTGATTCATTTGGAGCCCTCCCTATACTACAGAAATCGAGTTTTGAAAATAACTGACCAAGTCAAGTGGAATTAGCAAATGTGCAAAGTGGCTACAGTGGTTCTTTCTTCCTAAGGATCTTTCACATTTTAATTCTGAACTGTTGGTAAAGTGATATAATAAGATCTGATATTAAGAAAAATACTTACCACTCTTAGTTTCCCTCAGTGTACTTGTACCCTCAGTTTCTACTTTCTCACATTCAAAAGCAGCTGCCTCACTTTCATCTTCCTCTTCCGCTGCTTCTTCCTTTTCAGATTCTTCAAGGTCTCCCCAGGAGCTCTCTATTCCTTCCCCAATTTGGGCTGTACCAGGAGTGTGCAATACTGGATTGGCAAAACTGCAGGAGTTAAGAAAATCCTTGGTGTTTGCTGGTAAAATTCTTTGTATTCTGAGAGCAAATCAGGTGGTTTATAAGCCATGGGAGAACAGCCCTAAAGGGGACTTCAGAGTGCCACTCCTCCAGTCACTGTAATAATCACAGTTCTGACCCCAGCTTTGCACTTTTAGGCAAGGAATTAAAAGCAGACTGAACCAAAACCAGGATGATGATGTTTCCTCTCAGAGTTATATGGCTACCTAAGCTATGAGGAATTTTAGATGAGTTTTTAGCCTGGTTTCCCCCAGAGTATTACCCTGGAAAAGATACACTTCTGAAGGAGGGTCAGCTTTAGCAATGATTTCTCCAGCCTGTTCTTCCACGTCGTTGGTGTCCACAGCAGCACTCTCCATTTTGAAGGCAGTGATCCTTTGGTTGGGGATGGATTCCGCAAAGCCGAACTTCCCGCCTTCTTTCCTGCTCATTCAGCAACAGACATTATTTCAGCCCAAAAACTATTTCTCTTTCCAAGTTCAAGTAGACAAATGCTTGCTATTTAAAACATATAAGTGAAGACAATTTGCTGCTAAAAGCACAAGCTGACATTACTTTTTTTACTACATTTCTTAAAAACCCCCATTTCCATCCTTTCCCAGAACACTCACCTGGCTTTTTGGTCGTTTTCCAAGGCTTTCTGAATCAGTTCTGTTATTTCTCCCACCTTAACAGCTGTTATTTTACTGCATCTCAGAATCTGTTTGTTACACATACAAAAAACAGGGAAGCAAGAAGTTTTTCACTGAAACTGTAGAGCATCATAAGAATCACAAGCATTTAAATCACAGGAATTTCAAACACTTAAAATATAGCACCTTAGCATGAGGGATTCGCTGAGACTTCGGCAAAAAGTTAACAGCCTCCAGAGTACAACTGGAAATAATTTGCAAGCTTTTTCAGCTGAATCACAAGGAAAATAAAAAGATGCAGGTCTGACCAGAAACGATGCATTTTCTACATCCCTTCTGCAGCATGGTACACAGGGCCATGCTCTTCCACTAAGACAAAAAATACATCATCTTTTCCAATAAAACCAGACAGTTCATTAATTTCTCAGCTTCCAAATCTCATGGATATTCCCACATCAGGACTGCAGCACAGGAACCAGTTTATACACGGCAGAAGGACTGGTCCAGGCTAAGGCTTACCTGATCCTGCAGCAGCATGACCACTCCACTGGACTGGATGGTACAAATTTCATGGTGTTTATTCATGGCAATTACAAGGAGCCCATCCATCACCCGCTCCTCACGTTCCGTTGGATCCACCAACAAATAGGTCCTAGAATCAAGGTTTGAAATATGAGGCAACAGTAGAAATTCGAGGCATTTACTACCCTTAAACACAATTAATCAAAGGAGTTGGCTTGCATATTAATTACTATGAGTATACAAGATTTATACTCCTTATATGGGTACATAAGACCTCAAAATCTTACCCTTGATGGAAGAAGGCAAAACTGACACAAATGGGCATGTGGTGGATACTCAAGGGGACAGGATCACGTTCCTCAGGAGTGTACTTTGAAAGGAATTGGCCCAGAATACAGTTATTTATGAAACTCATTTGATTTTAAAACGACAAAGAAATTTAAGGAAATTGAAAAAAAAAAAACCCCCAAAAACAAAACAAGCAACTTACCACGGTTACTTCCTCTCCTTGCACAGACACATCTGGCCTGCGGAAGTGACACAGAGCTACAATCCCTGCTATGCTGGCAGCATCAGTGATGTTGCCATCGTGGTTTAACAGGTGCATGTCCAGCCGAATTTGCCAAACCTGAGAAAAATACAAAATAATACAAAACTGCTTGATTCTAGAGAAGCAAATTTTATTTTTCAAAACTAGTTTGTTTTTGGTTTTGTTTTTTTTTTTAACCAGAAAAAGAATCAGTATATATTCCTTAGGTCTTTGATTAAGAAGATGAGAGATCTTGGTATATTTCAAGATACCCACTGTGCCAGATTTAATTATGACAAAATATGTAGCACTTCAGCACAAGTTAAACATCATTCTGTAGGGTCCCAGCTACTTCAGAAAGCCTATGTAGACATGCAAGGTAAAAATACCTCTCAAATCAGATGAGTGGATCTTCACATTAACCTAAAATCAGCACTTCTACTATCCAACACAAGACAGGGACCAACTTAAAACTGGACAACATGTATCTTTTAGTTTAAACCCACCAGCAATTCAGAAGTTTTCCTACCTTTTCACCAGCAACAACGCAGAGAGATTCAGTGTCAATGCATTTGGAATCTCTGAGGCACCGTTCCAGTAGTCTGTTCAGTGACACCAGTAACTCGGATTGTCTGTTGGAACAAAATTAGTCCAAACTTAACATGATTACCATGGCTTTTATCCCATCCTTGTTTAGTCCTTTTAAGACATTCATTACCTGCCAGGCTCCAGCCCAGGTGCAGCCATGGGTGAGAGCTCCAGATTAAAGAAGAGCACACCTTCCGTGGGCCGGTTTGGCTTAGGGGGAACGAGTTCACACGAGACCTGTGCAAGAACCCTGCCAAGGCAAATAAAGCACCGAGTCACAGAACGTACCAGGGAAAATCTAGTAACAAAACACATACTTGGGGGAAAAAGCATGTGGTTAGGGTTTTAGTTTGTAATTCTCACTCCTGAGAGTTTCTTGTTCAACGCCTGTCACACATATTTAAACTCTGGTCAACAACTGAAAGAACCAAACTTAAGAACTAGGACATACTCCTGTCTTTTAAGACGAAAAATTGACTCGAACACGTGAGAAACTGTAATGAAATGTTTATGTAAGTGCATAACACAGGCAAAAACACAAACAAAAAAGGGTCGTTTGGTTTGGGGAAGAATGCAAAATGCAAAATCAGTGAACAAAGGGATGAAAACTTGGGAACAATTTTGCATTTTATAAATTACTTGTAATTACAATCATCGCGGAAACCCCATCCCTTTCCCGCTTCCTTCCTTTCCCGCTTCCTCCTCTTTGCTCCTACCCTTGAAATACTACGACTTTAAGGCTTGAAAGGTTAAAATCTGTTTACAGGGATCTCTGCAGGCTCGGGTTCCTCAGGTTTTACATTTAACCCGGGGCCCGCGGCCGAGCCCCCGCGCCCACCTGGTCCTGCCCAGCTCCACGATGCAGCAGCCGCGGTCGGCGCCGAAGGAGACGCGGATGTTCCGGTAGTCGTAGCATTGCCTCCCGTCCAGGCGCTGCGGGAACACACGGACACACACATGGAGAGGGTTAGTGCGCCATGCCCGCCATGCGATGGGACCGCAGGGGGAATGGGGGCGGGCGGGCGGCTCCCGGGGACAGCCGCGCTCCCCTGGGCGACAGGGAAGGGGAAAGGGATGGGGAAAAGGGCAGGGAGAGGGATGCTGGCGCCGCACCTTCTTCTCCTGGATGGCGCGCAGGAGGAAGCGCCGCTCGCAGTTGGAGAGCGGCGTCGCCTTCATGGCCGCGCTGTGAGGGGGCAGCGCGTG